CGCAGGCGTCGTACCGAGCGCGTCGAGACCGTGTCCTGATGTGATCTGCACGGGTGAGTCACGTCGGCGTCAAAGGAGCGACGTGCGACCTGTCAGAGCTTGATCTCCAATCTCAGCTGCCTCTGTGCGTCCTGGGGAGGGACAAAATTGTCGCCGCCGGAGACGACTCGACGCCGCTGAGATTGGAGATCAAGCTCTGACAGGTCGCACGTCGCTCCTTTGACGCCGACGTGACTCACCCGTGCAGATCACATCAGGACACGGTCTCGACGCGCTCGGTACGACGCCTGCGACCCGTCTCGGGTCAGGTGGCACGACGCTCATCGCGCCTACCAGCGCTGCCGTACAGGTTGCCACGACGAGGTCGAGCACGCTTCTATACGCTCGCCGAGCCTTCCTTTCCATCCCATTAGGCAGCCTGGGAACGGTGGCGGTCAGAGGCAAAGCCTACGAGGGGTGGTGGAACCACATGTCACGGCTACTGCCGGCTCGACCCCACGATAGCCTCCGAAGGCTGACTTTGCGGCACCATCATCGGACGATGTCGACGAGTTGGGTCGCTCTCGCGGTAGCCAGATGACCTCTCTTTCTAGGAGCATCGGCCATGGCCGCAGGGAGCGCGGGGGAGGGCGCTGGAAGCAACACGGAGCTCCGTTGGAGACGTTTTCAAGATTATCGTGTCAGAGTGAAATGGCACTAGCCGAGCCAGCTGAAGCTCGAGACTCCTCGGTATCACGAATTGTGGGGGTCACGGAGATAAGCGGCGGACGACGGGGGAGCCATATATCTTTACGCAGTGCACTGCGGTGAGGCTGCGCAGCGGGGGCTCACCCCCTGCACCGCGCTCAGCGGCGCAGGGGAGGGCGGTCGGTGGCGGCGGCGGCGAGGCGCGAGGCGGTGGCGGCGGTGGTGCGGGCGGCGGGATGACAGGGGAGGCGGCGGGATTGACAGGGGACGCGGCGGCCACGAGCGGAGCGGCGCGAGAAGGGGGGGGGGCGGCGGCGAGGCGCCGGTGAGCGAGGCGCCCGCGCCATCAGAGGGACGCGCCGCTGCGAGATGGAGGGCGGCGGTGACGGAGGCGAGGCGCGAGGCGGCGGCGGCGGCGGCGGCGGCGGCGGCGGCGGCGGCGGCGGCGGCGGCGGCGGCGGCGGCGGCGGCGGCGAACGGCGGCACCGAGTCTCGGTGAGCGTCGGCGGGAGGAGGAGCAGCGGCGGCGCTCGCTCGCTGTTGACGGGAGCGCTTTTGAGCCTGGGAGCCCAAGCATGCCACTGCGACCGGCGTGCCCGGGAACGGAGATCGCGCGCGCGCCGCCACTCACGACGCGCGCGCGATCTTCGCCAGTCGGGTCCCAGAGGGAAGCGGTCTTCTCGGCCGACGTCCAGCGGCGCGCAAGGAAGCAGGCGCAGCGGAGGCGGCCTAGCACCGGCTCGGCGCCGGGCGGTTGCGCTGCCCGCGAGCCGCGTCCTGAGCCTCGGCAGCGCGCTGCGCGCGGCGCGGCGCTCGCGCTGCTGCGGTGCCGAGAGCGGCATGATGGTTCGCCAGCTGCCAAGCTCGAGACTCCTCGGAATCGGACAAGCCGGCTTACAGCTGGCGCACCGCGTCCGCCCCGGGCCGCCCCGGGCCCCCTGCGGCGCGCGGGATGGCGGCAATCGGCGCGCTGATCGCCTCGCACCGTCGCTGCACCTCGCGAGCCTGGGGATGTGCCGCGCGCCGCGACCTCGGGATGCGCCGCAGCGTCCCGCCTGCCCGGCGGCAGCAGCTCCCTGGAGGAGACAGACGCGTGGGCGTTTGCAAACAGCAAACGCGTCAGAACGATGCTGCGTGGGCTTGACCTGGCTGGACCGTCGGTATGCGGAGTCGCAATGCGTTGAGGATGACGAGGAGGAGGAAGGCGACGAGGAGGAGGAGGAAAAGGACGAGGAGGAAGAGGACGAGGAGGAAGAAGACGAGGAGGAGGGAGAAGACGAGGAGGAGGAAGAAGACGAGGAGGAGGAGGGCGAGGACCAATGCGAGGTGGAGGACAGCGAGGAGGAGGACGGACACTGTGCCGACGCTGCCTTTGCAATGAGTTGCACTCCCAGCCACCGCACAACTCGCTCCCTGTGCGTATGCAGCTAATCGGCCGCTTCCCCCACGCGCAGGTCAATGGACCTACATTGGGGCGCGCTCGAGACATCAGCAGAGCAGTTCAAATGGACTTGCTCGCCCATCGGCGGAAAAACACAGCAAGAGCTACGATGGCCCACAGAAAGAGTTCTTCAAGTGGAGCAAAGCCAAGGCAGGCGAAGTCGTCAACGGCGTGATGCCGGATTCAAAGAGGTCGTATCTCACCACGGTGGCAGTCAACCTAGACGGCTCAGAGGCCTCTCAGACAGACATTGAGAACCCGTCAATAGACACGCGGAGCGTGGAGGTTGCCTTTGTGACGCCGGAGGCATTTGACGAATATCAAACACAGTACCTATTCCATCGACCTCAACTGACCACAGGGAAGGGTCGAAAACAAGGACCCCTTGCGACGGCTGAGTACAAGGCTCCCAGACCTAAAGAGGGGACGAACGTGAACCACGGTACGGCTGTACAACATCGCAAGGCGATGGCCGACTTGTACAAACAGCAGTCAAGAGTTGTATCCGCGTCACATGGATGGAGTTCAGGCCCCAAACACCAGCCCGAATTGGGCAGCGATCCTTGCAACCTTTCAGAAGCAAACGGCGGGGAGGCGACGCGAGAAATATTCTGCGCGTGGGTTGCAGCTTCTGGGAGAAAAAAAATTGCTTTAGCTAAAAGAACGGGCACGAGGTTTTCTTCAAGTCTCGCTCCGCGAGGCGGAGAACTCCTCCCTGCCTTCGGGCCCCTTCTCAATGTCGCGCAGCGAGCCGGCGGTGCTACACACACTATGCCTGGATTCGTTTTCTCTCCAAAGGAGTGTTTTCTTTTGAACTTTTCTTTTATGCATTATGGCAGACGACAGTAAAAAGTGCGGCAGGGGTTTCGGTGTGGAGCCTTTCCGGTATATTTTGTATCTGGACAACACTCAGCAGGAATGTTTGTCTCCCCATCATGTTTTTCTTTTTGGGCAGTAAGCGAGCACACACACACAGGGGCGCAACAGCGTACACTTACCAACAGTCGAATACGGGGCTGCGTGCAGCAGGCGCGGGCTCGGTCGTTCTTCGACTCACATCGCTGCGGTGTGTGCCCGGGGAGGCGCGGCGGCGGGGTGGATTGAGAAGGTCTCAGAGAGACTGCAGGCGTGCAGAGGCGCGCGCTGCAGTGTCTCTGACTGGGCTGCTGGCGGAGTGTGCGCGAGACGGCGTGGTGAGGCGAGGGGCAGGCTGTTGTTGCGGGGTGCGGGCTGCATCGTTGAGCGCAGTGCGTGCACATGGTGCTGTATGCTGTGTGTGCAGGCAGGCTGTCAGGCTGTGCAGCAGACTGAGCAGATGAGCGCGCGCGGGTGCGGGCGTGCGTGCGTGCCTTGCGTGGTGCAGAATCTGCGTCGTACGCGGCGCGTCCTGGTACAGCCGCTTGTGAGATGCCAGAAGCAGTGTGCAGAGCCTGCACAGGGCGCAAAAAGGCGAGGTAGTGCTGGTGAGGTGTGCTGCGGCGCGCGCGTCGCGGCGTGAGTGGATATGCGGCTGGCTCTGGTGGTGCGAGGGGCGCGTGGCTGGTGCGGGCGGCGCGGGACGGCCATGGGGCGCCAGCACAGGGCTTGCGCACATGACACAGGCTTCTGGGCGCTGCTCGTGTGTTTGCGTGCGCGCGGGGACGTACGCGCAGTTTTTGCGCAGCGGCGCCGCCAAGCGCCCGCCCCGGCGGTGAGCGACGCGTAGCGAGCGAATCGCCGGGGCGGGCGCCTGGCGGCTCCGCGGAGCTCCTTTGGCTCGGCGCGGGCGGGGGCGAGTAAAAAGAAATTTACCCCCTGGCGGGTCGCGATTTCTTTTTACTCGGCGCGGGCGGGGGCGAGTAAAAGCTGTGGCCGCGATTTCAGCCGGTCTCGTGACCGCCCCGCCTCAGCAGGTACGCGTTTGAGCGAGGCCATCCCGCAGCGCACACCGAGACGGGGCCGGTCGCGGGCAGCGCCACGCTGCAGGCGTCTGCCGGAGGCCCGCCGGAGGCCGTACGCGGCGGCCACTTCCCGTCAGTCTTTCGCCGCGCTCCGGCCGCTCCTTTGCTCCTGGCCGTCACTTCCCAGCGGCTTTGCATTCCCCCAGCGCGCTGTCGAGGCTGGCAAAGGGGAGGACGCGCGCAGCGCTGCGCCGCAGGCGCTCCGCCGGTCAGCGCCCGGCCGCAGCGCGCAGCGCAAGGCTGGGCGCTGGCCGGCGGATACCCCGTAGGGCCGCCGGAGGCTCTTTGGGCCGACACAGTCATGCCGCCTTTTGCCCGCAGGGCTCTCCGGCCTGCGGACAACAGCGCGCTCTCGCCGGCGCGCTCTCGGCCATACGCGAGCAGGCCCCCTCGCTCTCGCTCCCCCCTCGCCATCGCACGCAGGTGAAGCTCGGACGGCGGCATGGGAGGGGCGAGGCAGTGCCGTTCCACTCTGACGGCAGACGGGCTGCGCGAGAGCGACTACCGGGAGCGCGCTTCGGCTCCTCCCCGCCCCCGCCCCCTCCGCCCCCCTGCCCTCCCCCCCGCAGCTCTGCTAAGTCGTCGTGCTCCCGCTCCGGAGTGGCTATGATGACGGTGTTTGTTTGTTGTGCAGCTTCAGTCTGTGTGCGCGTAGCGTGTGCGGGAGCCCGCGTGACCGCCTTAATCTTGTGGCACGACCGCGGTAGTGATACGAAGTGACAGCCTGTGCGTGTTAAACTTAAAACGCCAAGCTAGGGCTGGGTCGAGGACAGACACGTCCACACCTGTCGTTCACGGCATTCACGGCGAATTTCTTTGGGCGTCATGGTCGGACGGAGCCTGAGCGAGGACGAGCGCTCGGCGGAGCTGCTGGCTGTTGTGCGCGGGCTACAAGCGTTCTTCTCGTCGCACGGCCGCGAGGCGGTCTTCCCCGACCTCTCCGATAAGGTCGGGTACGGCGATTACAACGTCGCGGGCGCGCGCGGACACCAGCTGCTCGAGACAGTCACCGCGGAGATCAACGCGTGCGCGCACATCAAGTCGGGCTCCTGGCCGTGCAAACAGGTCGAGTCGGTCCGCAGGCACTACGTCGGCAAGATCAGGGCCGATGTCGGGCGCGAGGACGAGGCCGCGTTCGAGGCATACGCCCGGGCGCTCGAGCAGACGCGGCCCGAGGCGGCGAGCGGCTCCGCCCCGCTCATGCAGCGCCCGGCGGAGGAGGCAGCGGATATGGTGGTCGACGCCAGCCCTGCTCCGCTCGGGGAGCGCCCTGCGACCGTGCACAACGCGGGCGCGAGCGCGGCGAGCGCTGAGGCGGGCTGCACTTCGGCCGGCTGCGAGGAGGAAGCGGCGGCTGCAGAGGCGGACGCGGCGCAATCGGGCGAGAGAGGGTACGAGGGCGAGAGTTCAACACGCTGCGCCCCCCCGGTGAGTACGAGGGGCGCGGCGTCGAGCGGTTCGCCAGCGGCGACGTCTACGAGGGTGAGTACAAGGCGGGTAAGAAGGAGGGGCGCGGCGTCTACCGGTGGGCCAACGGCAACCTCTACGAGGGCGAGTTCAAGGCGGGCAAGAAGGAGGGGCGCGGCGTCTTCCGGTGGGCCGATGGACGCGTCTACGAGGGCGAGTGGAAGGCGTACAACGTCTACAACGGCGAGTGGAAGGCGGACAAGCAGGAGGGGCGCGGCGTCATGCGGTACGCCAACGGCAACGTCTACGACGGCGAGTGGAAGGCGGGTCAGAGGGAGGGGCGCGGCGTCTGGCGGTGCACCAACGGCGACGTCTACGAGGGCGAGTACAAGGCGGGTCTGGCGGAGGGGCGCGGCGTCCTCCGGCTCGCCAACGGCGACGTCTACGAAAGCGAGTACAAGGCGGGTAAGTTCGAGGGGCGCGGCATCTACCGGTACGCCAGCGGCGAGGTGGAGTCGGGCTTCTACAAGCAGGATGCCCCCGTCGGCGAGGGCGTCATGTGGCTGGCGGACGGGCGGCGGGCGAAGCGGCTGCGTGACGGGGAGTGGGAGGAGGAGATCTCGCCGGAGGAGGCGCGGCAGACCGCCGAGCGGCTCGGGCTCCCAATCCCGTCCCCGCTGCCCGGCGCGTCCGAGGGAGAAGAGAGATACTAGTGGCGACTGCACGTGCAGACAGTATTTCTCTTCACAATGTTGCAAAAACAAACTTTGGCGAGCCAACGCAGCTTTTACACATCGCGGCAGTCGAGGCTCGAGCTCGTAGTCTTCCGTAGCCCGCAGCGCGACCCGGGTGAACTCGGAGCCTAGCGCAGCGCGAACTCACCGTCTGAGCCTAGCGCAGCGCGAACTCGCCGTCTGAGCCTAGCGCAGCGCGAACTCGCTCCTGTTCATAGCTGCGCAACCCTAGCCTAGCTCCATTTTCACGCGGTGTGCGTGGAGAAGGGCATGAGGGGCGCCGGCTGCGCGTGTATTGGCGCGTGAGAGTGTGGTGCCCGAAGGCGAGAAGGCGCCCGAAGGCAGGAGGACTGGTCGTCCAGCATCTCCGCAATCTGGGCAAAGACTACCGGGAGAGGGATATGCTGGCCGAGGCCTCACTCATCCTCGAGTTCTCGTCTGGACTGGGCGACAAGCAGTTCTTCACCTACATCGAGCGATTTTTCCGCAAGTACCCGGGGCGCGGCCTGCCGGAGCTGCCGCTCGACCGGATCCTTCGCGACGACGTCTACCGCGAGCATGAGAGGTCAGTCGAGTCGTTCAAGAAGGAGCTGGCCGAGCTCGCCAAGCGCGTCACCAAGGCGGAGGCGGCTGCGGCGGAGGCCCAGCGGGCGGCCGAGGAGGCGAAGCGGTCGGGCAAGTCGGGCGCCAAGACCTGCTTCTGGTGCGGCGAGGAGGGGCACGTCAAGCCTGACTGCCCCGTCTTCAAAGCCGATTTGCCGAAGGTCAAGAAGGGCAACTGACGCCCGCGGGACCTAGCCCCACCGCCTTGCCCCGCTCGCTCCGCGTGACCCTCACGCGCCGCGGGCAGGGCTCGGGACGGTGAGGCGCCCCACCGCGCCGTTGCAGCCCGGGCTCATGAAGGGAGAGCCGACGCCCTTAACAGGGTGGCTCCTTCTCTGATCCCCGCCCGGGCAGCCCGGCGTTTTTCTGTGTTTCCACCTCACAGAGGTGGTGGCGCCTCTCCTCCCCCACACCAGGGCGAGGCAGGCGTCTCCTCCCCTGGTGGTGGTCGTGTGTTTGGTGCGTCGTATGTGGTAGTCGTTCGTCCCAGTGACAGAGTTTTGGAGTCAGCGCTGAGTTCAGTTGTCTCAACTCGTACTGTGGGCGATGGTCCGGCCCCGGCGGAAACCGAGGGCGAGGAGGAGAATCGGCGGGCGAATATCGACTGGGCGGGCTGCCCAGCCATCGCCGACTCGGCCCCGCCGGAACGGCCAGCCCTCTCTCGGCTCGTTTTGGGATGCAGCCAGCTCCACGCACCTCGAGGCGTCGCGAGCCGGCCACCGGCCACGCCGCCCCCCAGCGGTGTGGCGGGCATCTCAGCCACGAGTGTCGAGCGGGCAGACGACGACCGACGCGCCGCTCGGACGATGCTCGACGAGCTGGGCACCACAGCAGCGCCGCCACCGACGAGAAGAGCACGCACGCGTCGAGCGGCGAGGCGGCGCTCGCTCGCTGCAGGCCCCAGCCGCCGACCGCCTTGGGAGCGTACACGCGCCGGAAGGCCTGCGCCGTCTGGGAGCGGAGCAGGCCGTCTGCTAGCACGCCCGCCGCGTGCCACGCGCCAGCGAGCCGCTCGCCATCATCGCCGCCAGCAGACGCCCATGCAACCAAGCGCCGCACGTCCGCCTCCTCGGCCGCATCGCAAGCCGCAGCCCGCACCGCGCAGCCAGCCAGCGAGGCGAGGCGAGCGCTCTCTGCCGGCGCCACCCGCCCGCCCCGAGAGGCGAGGACCAAGCCCGCCGCCCCTCGACCGCCGAGCCACTTGGCGACGAGCAGGCCGACGCCGCCCGTGCCGCCCGTCAGCAGCTGGAGGCCGCCCACGCCGCTCGAGCCCTCTGGCGGCGCGTCGAGGCGGCTCAGCCGCGGCACCCTCGCCCCGCCGTAGCTGGCCACGGCCTCCGGCTCGGTCGGTGGCAGCGCCGAGGCCACCGCCACCAGCTCCGCCGCCGAGAGTCCGGCGCCGTCGACGTGCGAGAGGCTGCTGCCCGGCGCCTCGGCTCTCGCCGTGCGGGCGAGGCCGAGCAGGCCGGCGTGCGAGGGGCACACACGTGCGGCGGCGCTACAAGGCTGCGATCCGCCACTGCTGAGCAGCCACGTAGGGAGAGGCTGCGAGGCAGGCTGCGAGAGCACGAAGCGGAGGCCCGCCTCGACCGCCGGCAGCGCCGAGGCCTTGGAGGCGGTGGCGAGCGCGACGGCGCTGGCGGCGGCCTCGAGCGGGAGAGGCGCGGTTGGGAGTGAGATGACCGGCCTGGCGCGGGCGCCGAGGACGAGCGTGGGCAGTGCAGCAGCCGGAGCAGCGACGGGCGGGACGAACTCGATGACGTAGCTGTGAGAGCTAGCAGCAGCCTCTACACTCGCAGCAGCCGCCTCGGCGCTTGGAGCAGCCTCGCGCCACGCGAAGCGGCGTCGCTTGTAGCGAAGGGGCGTCGTCGCGGCACCGCTGGTGCTACTGAGAGAAGGCGGCGCCGCCTCGAGCACGGCGTGGGCGATGGTGCCGCTGTACCCAAACGAGCTCACGCCGCCCCTCCCGCCCGCCGCGGCATCCCGCCCCCGGGCCAGCTGCGTCGGCAGCGCGCACGCAGCGCCCTCCACCGCAGAGCCGACGTGCGGGTTGATGCGGCGCAGCTGCGCGTTCGGCGGCGCCTGCGCCTCGAGCAGCCCCGCCGCCAGCCGAAGCAGCCCCGCCAGCCCCGCCGCAGGCTCGGCGTGGCCGCAGTTCGCCTTGAGGCTGCCCACGCAGAGCGGCGGCGACGGCGCGCGCGCAGCCAGCACCGCCGCCGCAAGCGAGCGCACCTCGATCGGGTCGCCGAGCGGCGTGCCGGTGCCGTGCGCCTCGTAGGCCGAGAGGGCGGCGGGCTCGACGCCTCCGTCGGCGAGGGCGGCCCGCAGCAGCGCCTGCTGCGCCTGCCCGTTGGGCGCGGTGAGGCTCGCGCTCTTGCCGTCTTGCCGCACGCAGCTGCCGAGGAGGGAGAGCCCCGCCGGCCTGATGCCATCTCCGCTTGGCTGCAGCACTGCGGCGTGGCAGCCCTCGCCGCGGCCGTAGCCGTCGGCGCGGCTGTCAAACGAGTGCGAGCGGCCGCGGGAAGAGGTCATGCCGGCCATGGCGGTGGCGACTGCAGCTGCCTGACTGAAAATCATGTTGACGCCGAGGGCGAGGGCAGCGGGGCACTCGTGCTTCTGCAGCGCACGCATGCCACCGTGCGACGCGACGAGGCCGCTCGAGCAAGCCGTGTCGATCGAGGAGCAAGGCCCCTGCATGCCGAGCACGAACGAGAGGCGCCCCGCCGCCACCGAGCAGGTGGCCGCAGTCGCCGAGTAGGCGCTCGACGCGAGAGAGGGCGAGCGAGCCACCACCTCGCCAAACTCGGGGTTCCAGATGCCGAGGAAGACGCCCGTCACGCTGCCCAGCAGCTCCGCCTTGCGCATGCCCGCGCCGTGCAGCGCCTCGTAGCCGCACTCGAGCAGCCTCCGCTGCTGCGGGTCCATCGAAGCCGCCTCGGCCGGCGAGACGCCAAAGAAGCCGTTGTCAAAGAGCTCCGCGTCGGCAAGGAAGGAGGCGCAGCGCTGTCGAGCGGCGACGGGCTCAGATACAGCCGCGAAGCGAGAGAGGTCGGCTGTGTCCCAGCGGCTCGCTGGCACCTCGCTGGCCGCATCGTGGCCTGCCGCAGCCATTCGCCACAGGCCGCGGATACCGTCGCCCTGCGCGCCGTCGGGAGCAACGGCACACATCGAAACAAGCTCCACCCGGCGTTCATCTGCGGTGTGGATTGTGGCCGCTGCTGCGCCGGCCGGAGCGGCGCCGCCGAGCGAGCCGAGGTGGGTGGCGAGCTGTCGCACTGTCGGGTGCTCAAAGACGAGCGTGCTCGGCAGGCTCGCTCCCGACGCCCTCTGCAGCTGATTGCGCAGCTCGACGGCGCCGAGCGAGTCGAGGCCCGCCTCCATCAGCGGCGCGTCGGCGTCCACCTCTGCCCCCGCCGTCTGCTTCACCATCTCCAGCACATCCTCGACGCCGACGGCAGAGGCTCTCGCGCGAGAGGCAACGGCCTCGGTCGATGCCGACGCCACGGCGGGCGCCACGGCCGTGAAGAAGGCAGGCGCGTCCCTTGCGCCGCTGAGGAAGCGGCGCCAGTCCACGATGATGGCCGCCACGACCGGCGAGCCCACAAGAAGCAGCGACGCGCCGAGCGCCATGAGCCCCTGCGCGGGCGAGAGGAGCCCGATGCCGCCCGCCTGCAGCCGCGCGTTCACCCCCTGCCCCGCCGCCATGCCGACGTCTGCCCACGGCCCCCACTGCACGCTCGTCGCCGCAGAGCCGCGAACGTGCCGCGAGGCGGCGAGCGCGTCGAGGCAGCAGTTGGCGGCGGAGTAGTTCGCCTGGCCGCCCCCGCCCAGCAGCGCCGCCACCGACGAGAAGAGCGCGCACACATCGAGCGGCGAGGCGGCGCATGCTCGGTGCAGGCCCCGAGCACCGTGCGCCTTGGGAGCGTACACGCGCTGCAGCGCCGCCGCCGTCTGGGAGGCGAGCACGGCGTCCGCCAGCACGCCCGCCGCGTGCCACGCGCCACTCAGCGGCGCCGCATCGCCATCTCCGCTCGCCGCGCAGCACAGAAGCCGCGCAACGCTTGACGGCTGGGCGGCGTCGCACGCGGCGGCGAGGACGGTGCAGCGTGGCGGCAGCCGGCCAGACGCTCCGCTCGGGGCCGCGGCGCCGCTGCGAGACG